TGTTTAAACTCCAAACTAAGTACAAATAAAATTAGAAAACTGAAAGCATAGAGGAAGTACAAGAAAGACATCGATTAATCAAGATAAAAAGTAGGTCTTGAAAACAGAGAATGCACATTAAACAAACGAGGAACAAGTAGGTGGAAACTGGATTCAATGTATGTGACCAAACTGTAAGAAATCCCCTAAATTAATGGGATTTATATCTAGAAATGTCAGCAAAACTATCATTAACGCCCAAACCGAAAAGAACAAGGTGGCCACAAGCTAATGAGAAATAACCTGTGGTTGATCTGCATGCGTCATGTCAGGTCCTTACCTGACAGTGGTAATGGATGGGGATTGGGGAAATGTCAGTCATACATCTTCAATAAATGTCAATGTTTTTGTTGTAAATTTGGACACTTTTATATTACAATTTAAAATGTTTGCTGAGAATAGCTTCATATTTCAAGATGAAAATCAGTCTTGCCACAGGGCAAAGGACATGAAAGAGTTTCTGCAACAAAGATAAAAATGTCAAAGGCACGGTCGGCAAATAGTTGATCTGAATCCAGTTACAAATTTCTTGTGGACCTGCAGGAAATCATAAATTACCTGTACAAGACTTCAACCTACAAAGCCAATCCGACCACCACAATGAGACAGCTAGAACCTGACTGATAAGTCAACTGTTTGTCATTTGTTAGGTTCATTCCTCAGAGAATTAAAGCTGTGATAAAAGCCAAAGGTGGGGCAACAAATTACTAATGGCACATTCTTCTGCAGACATTGCACGTTGGTGTCTTGCTTTGTGGTGTTTCCAGTGTAAAATACTTCCATACAGTGGACATGTTTCGATGAAAAGTTGCTTAGCTGTTAGCCACAGTGTTGCTAACTCAGTCCTCAGTTTGTAGCTGCCTGCAAACTATGAAATGGATTTCCTGAATGTGAGATGGGTCTTATTAATCTGGCTTCATGAAACACGCCTCCATTCAGGAAATGCGTTCCATAGTTTGAAGCCAACATGCATAATGGATTGGAAATCTCTGCAGGTTGGATTGGAAAAATCGGATATGTAAATTATGCTGGTATTGAAGGCCGATACCAATACTGGATCGGATCGGCCACATCCCTACTAGAAATAGTCAGACTCACATCGCCGCATGGCTCTGGCTCTGGAACCAGTTTTCTTGAGAGGGGTTGGACACTCTTCCACTCTGGAGTTGACCCTGGTGAGAGATGCCGAGTAGGATTGGGCGCACTTGTTGCCCCCCATCTTGGTGCCTGTACGTCAAGGTTCACCCCAGTGAACGAGAGGGAAGCCTCCCTCCGCCTACATGTTGGGGGAAGGGTTCTGAGTCTTGTTTGTGCTTAAGTGCCAAATGGCAGTTCAGAATACACACCCTGTTTAGAGTCCTTGGAGGGGGTACTGGAGAATGCCCCTCCTGGAGACTCCCTTGTTCTGCTGGGGGACTTCAATGCTCATGTGGGCAATGTCAGTGAAATCTGGAGGTGTGTGGTTGGGAGGAACGACCCCCACTGATCTGAACCCGAGTGTTGTCCTGTTGTTGCACTTCTGTGTGGATTGTCCATTACGAACACCATGGTCAAGCATAAGTACCAAGAGCACCAGGACACCCTAGGCCACAGTTCAATGATCAACTTTGTTGTTGTCTCATCTGATCTGTGGCCACATGTCTTGGACACTTGGGTAAAAAGAGGAGCAGAGCTGATCACTACCTGGTGGAGAGTTGGCTCCAATGGTGGGGGAGAATGCCGGTTAGACCTGGCAGGCCCAAACATTATGTGAGCGTCTGCTGGGAACGTCTGACGTCTGAGTCTCCCGTGAGATGTAGCTTTAACTCCCACCTCCGGGAGAACTCTGAACACGTTTTGGGGGGAGGTGGAGGACATTGAGTCTGAATGGGCCATGTTCCACGCCTCTATTGTCGAGACAGCTTATCGGAGCTGTGGCCGCAAGGTAGTCGGTGCCTGTCGCAGCGGCAACCCTCAAACCTGGTGGTGGACACAGGTGGTGAGGGATGCTGTCAGGCTGATGAAGAGTCCTATCAGGCCTTTTTGGCCTGTAGGATTCTGGATGCAGCGGATGGGTACCGGCAGTCCAAGCAACCTGACCCGGATAAGCAGAAGAAAATGGATGGATGGATGGATGGATGGATGGATGGATGGATGGATGGATGGATGGATGGATGGGATTTATAGAATGTCTGTGAGTTGTTGTTTTTTTATCATACAAAAGTAACCAATTAAAAGAATGTCCTCCAGGAGTAGTGATTCTATATTTTTTGCCAGGGGTTGTAGTTTATAGAAGAAGAAAAAAACACATAAATTATGTGAAATAGAAAGAAAGTAGCTGGGGAGATGTGATAATGTGTCTTTTCTTTTGGATACATTGGTTTTAATTCCAGTGAACAGAAGCCAATGTGACCAAAAGTGTTTCCAAGTGTCTGTCATCTTGTGCTGTGAATGATTTGAAACAGGGACACAATATACCCGTGATGTGTCGAGTGTAAGTGTAATGGATCTGAGTCACCATGTGGGTGTGCATGTATTAGCACTGAGGGTTGTGACAGAGGTGTGAAGTGACGGAGATGGGCTAAAAGCAAAGACACCAAACTGCTGCAGTTCTCATCTGTGGCTTCGCATTAATGTGTGAGCTAGCAGATTATTGGTATTATTGCATGTCATTAGAGGCAAAATCCAAACAATAATATTAACTGGGATTATATTGTTGCCCGTGTCTGTCTGTCAGTGAAATATCTCATGGAGATGAAATATAATAAAACTCCTATAAGTAATCATTGGATGTATATTTACAACAAATTACTCTTGGCAGTCAACCATATTTAAGGTGGATACCACAATCAACCTTAGAAAACACACAGTCTATGAGTCAGTTTTACAAAAATGGATTTTAAATTTGGTGTTCTGGTAACTAAGTCAGAACCTGTAGCTACAAAAATATATATTTTTGAAAAATTGTAAATAATATTTCATGTTTGTGGATGAAAAATGTATTACTGTATAACTGCTTGCAAAAAAGGCCATTTAATTTTAGATCACAAGGTTTGCATGTTATGACATCTGAACTGGGTAATCGGGCAAAGGTGGGTCATGAAAGCATTGTCGGTTGATTGGTTTTGGAGTTTGTGCATACTCTGATTACAAGTGACTCCTGGAAGCTGATTGGTTTTGTAGGTTTGAATCTGGGTGGATCACAAGCTCCCATTTAATTATACACACCCTGTATGATTATACACATCTTGTATTCACTTCTGCTACATCATTTGTGGACACTTTGGACTCCGTTAAACTTGTGACCTGCTCTGGCATGCAATTGTGGGGAGTGGTGGCACAGAGGTTAGAGAGGTGGGCCTGTGATCGGAAGATCGCCGATTCACGCCCCGGTACTGACAATATCAAAAATGTGGGTGGGGTAGGTGAAGCACCCACACTTGCCCCCACCCTCATTCGCCCCACTCTGGGCCCATGAGCAAGGCCCTTAACCCCCCATCTGCTCCCTAAAACAGGTCTCTCTTGAAAATTAGTTCTCATGGCTCAATGAGACTACCTGTATAAATAAAGGGTAAATGAAAATTGCCACAAAGAACAATTCTCTTGCTAAATTACTTATTCTACCAAACATTTGGAAAATTAACCACAATCTTCTGACTATGAATTCATTTGCAAGCGTTTTGTTCACAATGTTGAATTAAGTATTAGAGAAAACTCTGTTTTTCATTAGTAAACTTTGTCGTGAACCAATAGAAAATTATTTTGACCATTCAGGGAATAATCATTGAGTGTGCAATAACAGCTGATTCCAATTCAAGATATTACTACTACTAACTAGCTACTATCAACTGTTTTAGCTAATTTCAGCTTTTTTCAGATGCTTTCCACTTTTTGTGTTCATTTCTGCTTCCTTCAGCCTAATTTGGGCAAAATTGTGCTCACTCCACTTCCTTCTGGTAATTTTAGCTTCTTTCAGAAATTTTAGTGAATTTTCAGCTATTTTTGCTTATTTCAGCAGTTTTCAGATAACTTCCACTTTTTGTATTTGTTTCTGCTTCTTTCAGCCTAATTTGGGCAAAATTGTGCTCTCTATCCACTTCCTTCTGGTAATTTTAGTTTTTTTCAGCTTATTAGCTACTTTTCAGCTATTTTTTTTTTGGTTAATTTCAGCTTTTAGAGCTAAATTTTGTGCTCATTTCTGCTTACTTAAACCAAAGTTAGCAAATATGAGTTATTTCTGCTTTATTCTGCTAACTTGGGCTTGTTCTGCCTTTTCAGATATATTTTAGCATCTTTTTAGGTAATTTCAGCTGTTTTCAGCAAGTTCTTTAGCAAAAAACATTCACACTACATGTTTGCAGTAAATGCAATTTCTCTAGTTTTGTTTGACCTTGGATAAACACACAGCAGCATGCTCATCAAACGCCACTGGTGACCAATCAGTTGTCTGTTCTGAGCAGACTATACCTTTGTGGACGCACGTGTATGATGTCTCGTGGTAATTTTAAGTCTGAGAAAACTATTCAGTTCTGTAAACTTACAGACATAAACCTGTAAAACATGTGAAAAACAAGCTTATTTGGGGTTCTTAAAGGATAAAGTTGAAAAATACAAAACCAGACATTTTGACTCTTTTCTTGCAGTAAAAACATTGAAAGAAGTGCTTAGAGAACCATGTTGAAATGTATGAATTCTGTAAATAATTATTTTGTTTTTAATTAGTTGAGTGTGATGTGGTAAAATGAAAAAAAAAAAGCACAAATGTTGCATGTGCATAAATGTAATTTTATAGTTTAAAAAAAGTGTTTCTGTGAATAATGGAACTGATGGAGCATCAGACCCACACAGGTTAGTCCTGACATGTTCTGTATTGCAGAAATGTTCCTACGGATCTCTTTCTAGCCTGTCAGAATTTGCTGAGTCAGTGTTTGTGCATGTATGTGTTTGGAGCGTAGTGTGTGCCAACAGCTTTCTGTGCCTACCTAATTTTTGCATGCATGCTCGGAGTCTCTCCTCAAGATTTGACACTCTGTTGTGGAGCTCCTCGTAGTCATAGGCCCCCATCTCTTCTTGTAGCTCGTTTAGAACTGACGTCACATTTCGGACCTCCTCCTTAAATTGCAATACCAATTTGGCATCGGCTTTGTACTCCTCCAACACTGGTATCAATGGTCTAAGCTCCTCCATTTTCGCTTTTATGGCCTGAAAGGATTAGAATAAGCTCGGTTGAGTGTCAAGCGCGACAGAAGGAGATCCGCTGTCCAGAAAAGAAAGGAAAAGAATAAAAGGACCTGTCTGAGCCTGGCTACGCTATCCTTTTCCTACTTCTCCCCTTCTTGTGTCCATGTTCAGTGTTTGTGTGTGTGTAGCCTTGTGCATTTGTGTTTGTAAGTGTGTGTCTGAGCAAGCAAACCAGGAGAATACTCTCCACCCGCTGGACGAGTGGAGCGGGAGGCTCCATCCAGCTCTGAGCAGCCATTAAAAAGCAAGCCCAAGTACACGGACAACAATTGGGAAAGCTCTTTATTGGTCATCATCGTTCAAAATGCAACATCGTATTAAGGGTTACATGCTTTTTTACATGTCACACACAACAAAGTGTCTCGAATTATACGTCTATAGCTGTACGCAAAGGTTTGCTGAGTAACCAAATATGCATAGACAAAAGCCAGGAAAAAGGAAAATCAACGTGAGTAACACCAATTACTACTAATAATAATTATAATAATAATAATTACGCCAGGAAAAATATTTTTAGATGAAAAACTTTAACAGCAATAACATGCAGGAGTAGATCAGTAGTGGTTGGTTTGGGGAAAGGGTAGGGTCTCTTAATCTTAATGATGCTAAGGGTAAATTAACGGTTTGATGCCCAAATTCTCTCAGTACTGTGGCCCAGTTCAGGGAAATCTGGATTTGACCTGCTTCTTCTTCCCTGTGGCTCTCTTTACATGTCTTAAAGTTAGCCCTGCAAGCAAGAAAATGACAGACTGTTGACAGGAGCTGCAGCTGGCTGACCTGACTACAAACACAGAAAGGTGTGCACACTTTGAATAATGAAAGATATACATGCAAAATGGTGATGGCAGCATGACGTTTCTGTGCATGCACAAATGACATGAGAACACGCGTGTTAGTGCAAGAAAGTGGTAATGGGTGCTTTATTATTTGGCAAAGGTCAGAAACGCGTCCTGTTTTTCTGTTTTACTAACTGAGCACTTAGCTCTCAGACTGCAGGTTTTGTAGTTGTGGGTAATCAACACAACACAGGCTGTTGTTTTTATTAGAAATATAGCTTTTTTACTAATTGCTATTTTATAATGAGACTGTGTTGTATTATAGTTAGATTGAATTAACTGTAAAATATTTTATTTTTATCTGCTTTAAAATGAATCTGGTCATTTTTGTTGTGTATTTCCATGGGACAACTTTAAACGGCACAAAATAAATAACCTGAGTTGAACTGAATTCTTCTTTTAGGCATTGCAGCTGATTAATAAACCGCAGAATCCTAATGTAAAATCTGAAGCACTGTGACAAGAAAAGCACTTGAGAACAGAGGTTCAGGTTTAAATGCATTTAGTTTGCTCTGTTAAAACATGAGAAAAATCAGTTTTATCCTCAATCATTCTGTCTTGAGTAGTTCCCCAGGGTTTCATTCTTGGATTTATATATATTTTTTCATTTATTAACAGTTTAAAATAAATATGTCACATTTTGACATAAACAAATGTTCTGAATGAAAATGAGTAGTTTGAAGAAAAAAAATCATTTAAAAACATAATCTTCATCATGCTTCTCCTCGGCTTCATTAAAAACATCTTCGTTCATTGTTATGCAGACGATACACTGATCTACTTTTGAAGGAAGTGTTAGAACTTTTTTCCTTTAAACCACTGTCTGATTGTCAGATTTAAACTTTACTTTATGTTTGTTTTTGGTGGGTGAGGATAAAAATGAAGTTTTTATATTTTGACCAGTCAAACATTTTAGGGTTGGTTGTAAAATGTTCTTGTTGACTAACGAGGGACTTAAGGTGTATCTGTGTGACATTAGATCTTTTGGACCTTTTTGCTCTATTGATTATTTGATTTTACTCATTCAGTGATGCAAGTTAGTATATTCTGGCAACCATGAACACAACAGCCTCTTACATATTGTATGACTTCACACTCGTGCTGTTTAATATCAAATCTCAAAACACATTCATATATATTGGTTTCTGAACTCTATTTGTTTATTCTTTGTTTTATGGTCTTTTTAACTTAATTTTACTATGTCTTTACAAATGTTTTTAAATGTGCATTATTGACAAACATAATGTAAAATGTAAAAAAAAAAAAGTTTTTTACATAGTACAGCCAAGTTAAAATGCAAAGATTATTTTTTTATTTTTTATTTCTTACTGTTGATCATTCTTTTTACATTATTGTTGAAGTATTTAAATATATAATTTACAAATATGTTCTGGGTTTGAGTCAAAACGAGTCACATTGAAAGAAATATACATTAAAATATTGTACTAATTCCTGGATTTAAGACTGAAAAAAATCTAACCAAACCAAAAAAAAATATGAGTTTGAAGACTGTCAATGGGGAAAAAAATACTATTTTAATTTCAATTATGTTTCAACAGCTACACAGTGATGAGCATTTATTAATTTAACCTCATTAGGTAAAGATTAGGCTGGAAATAAAAAAAATACTACTGCAGAGCTAAACATATTTTTCTTTTTTAAGATGTTGAACAGAAAATATCTCAAATGAAGCATAAATGTGTTATCCAGGCCAATATTTTTGTAGTATTTAACATGTCTCCTCGTCGTACAAGCAATATTAGGTGACAAAATGAGCTTATTATGTATTAGAGAACTGTTTTTTTGTTTGTTTGTTTGTTTTTGGAGAAATATCATCTATTTTGTATTGTTGCATTAAAACACGTGGCACCTATTTGGATAAAAATAAATTAGCTTCATTAAAAAGTATGTTAAATTTACACTATAGGTCTAAAAACAAAGTACAATTAGACTTAAATATGTGACAATTTAATCTAAATATTTATCTAAATGTGATGACGTATCTAGGCATTTTTTTTTTCATATATGTCTTGCATGCATTATGAATTTGTTCATGTGAAGTTTGGTAATTCAGATCCATCTGTTTACGTCAATATCTCACTGGGAAGCAACTGCTAAAGACCATTTATGAACAACATGGAGTTTCCAAAATGTCTCAAAACATTTGCAGAGAGTCTCAATTCCCTGCCATGAGTTGCAGAAGCTCGCTGTTGTGCTACAGGAGTTTAGATCATGTTTGAAAAACTTGATATATATATATATAATTACAGAACCATCACAGGCTCTGGGGATCATGTGAAACCCTGCTCAGTATAATGCTAAAGTACTAGAGATTCATTCTTGTCACTATGTAGGATAAAGGCCCAAATTTGACACTAGTCGCAGCCCATTGAGATACTGGTTTTAAACACAAAATGGTCAGGTGATCAGAAATGAGACAGCAGCTATGAAGGAAGGATATCCTGATCAAGATGTTCTGGGGACCTGGTTCCGTACCTTGTATTGCTTGGCGATGTTCTGCTTGTGGGTCTCTTCCACCTGCCTGAACTTGGTCTCCAGGCCACGGAACTGAACCTCCATCTTCTCAACGTACTGCAAGTCCCGCTGTGTGCGCTGGTCCAGAACTTGGATGGACTGGGTCATGTTCTGGACCTGGGAAGACAGATACAGACTGAATCATCTTCCTTCTTTCTTTTCATTTTTTTTGAGTGTTGGCAGCAGAGAAAAAGTCAACACACAGACTCTGATAGTCCGGGGCTGCAGACACATGGAGAAGTGTAAAGCTCTGACTGTTCAGACATTCGTTTCCTCCCAAACTGTCAGGACCATATCTTTTAGCTCTTCAGGAGATCTGTCAAAACTTTGGCACTGTTCTGCGTTACTTTTCCATGAAATATTTACCGATGTGCTCAGTCTGTGTGAGCGTGGGCGTCTACAGTTCCCCATCTGGGTATTAAACTGGATTGCATCATTAGATGCTGCTTAGAGTGCATGCACTACAGTAAAACCTACATCCCATGATGCCTTGGGTTTCCAGGGAGCTCATTAGAGCATCATTTCTATTCTTGTGCCACAGGCAGACAGGCGTTAAGTGTTGGTGCACATGCTTCGCAAGTTAGAGGTAAAATCAAATGAAAATGGCGACCCTGGTGTTTAAATGTCATTACCTTCTCCAAGAGCTGCCTCAGTTGTTTGGTGCGGGCGTCTCGTGAGCACATGGACTGCTGGGGTGCCACCACCGTGCAGACACACCTCCCCTCGCTATCCTGGGCTGAACTGTACACCTGCCATGATTCCTCTGGGTTTGCTGGCAACACCTTGGTTACAGAGGAGAGGTCAAAGGTCAGCGGTGATAAACACTGATGTGCTGACGTCCTTGCATTTGTTTATGAAATGACAAGACTTGTTGAAGAAATAGTATGTGAACCCATAAAACCTAGATGGTTCATTTTAGTTTGTTTAAATATGTAAAGTAAAAACTGGTAGAATAAGTCTGTTTTTAAACAAAGCTTATTATCAAAAATAAAATAAAACAATGTCACCACTAGTCTTGGCAGATCTTTAAAGCTGTATCAGGGTTTTATGATCTGATATGAGTTCTGTTAGAAACCATCGTCTTCCATAACAAGAACAATCATTTTATGCTTTTATGTGTTTCCATGCAGACAATAAATCTCCATCAGACTCCTCCCATTATTCACCACAGTGTGTGTGTGTGTGTGTGTGTGTGTGAGTGTGTGTGTGTGTGTGTGTGTGTGTGTGTGTGTGTGTGTGTGTGTGTGTGTGTGTGTGTGTGTGTGTGTGTGTGTGTGGTTG